AGAATAATTCCATTTTTTTTTCAGCTGCGCATTGTTTCATCGTAAAACTCTTTTGTTTCCACCTTCAACTACTCTTTAGCTGCCTTCCTAATTTTTTTCGTTCGGGGAACAGCTGCCATCGCCTTTTTTTTTCAACGTCCAGCTGCAACTTGCCAACATAAATTTTTCCAACAGTCAGCTATTTTTATAGCTGCATCCCTTAATTTTTTTAGTGGCTTTTCTAGACATAAGTCGTAGTTAGATCTCGCCTGCTTAGATATAAGAATAATTCCAAATTTTTTTCAGCTGCGCATTGTTTCATCGTAAAACTCTTTTGTTTCCACCTTCAGCTACTTTAGCTGCCTTCCTAATTTTTTTCGTTCGGGGAACAGCTGCCATCGCCTTTTTTTCAACGTTCAGCTGCAACTTGCCAACATAAATATTTGCAACAGTCAGCTATTTTTATAGCTGCATCCCTTAATTTTTTTAGTGGCTTTTCTAGACATAAGTCGTAGTTAGATTTCGCCTGCTTAGATATAAGAATAATTCCAATTTTTTTTCAGCTGCGCATTGTTTCATCGTAAATCTCTTTTGTTTCCACCTTCAGCTACTTTAGCTGCCTTCCTAATTTTTTTCGTTCGGGGAACAGCTGCCATCGCCTTTTTTTTTCAACGTTCAGCTGCAACTTGCCAACATAAATATTTGCAACAGTCAGCTATTTTTATAGCTGCATCCCTTAATTTTTTTAGTGGCTTTTCTAGACATAAGTCGTAGTTAGATTTCGCCTGCTTAGATATAAGAATAATTCCAATTTTTTTTCAGCTGCGCATTGTTTCATCGTAAACTCTTTTGTTTCCACCTTCAGCTACTTTAGCTGCCATCCTAATTTTTTTCGTTCGGGGAACAGCTGCCATCGCCTTTTTTTTTTCAACGTTCAGCTGCAACTTGCCAACATAAATTTTTGCAACAGTCAGCTATTTTTATAGCTGCATCCCTTAATTTTTTTAGTGGCTTTTCTAGACATAAGTCGTAGTTAGATCTTGCCTGTTTGATTTCAACTTGCTTGCTTGATATCAATGAAGGTGGATTTTGAAAGGTGTTATCCGAGAGTTAATTTATACTGCATAATTCGAGAGGCTGAGGGTGGCTGTGAGGGGAGGTAAAGGAGGCCACTTAGGATAGCACCTTCATGCAATCCACCGTACTTAGACATAAGTCGTAGTTAGATCTCGCCTGCTTAGATATAAGAATAATTCCAATTTTTTTTCAGCTGCGCATTGTTTCATCGTAAAACTCTTTTGTTTCCACCTTCAGCTACTTTAGCTGCCATCCTAATTTTTTTCGTTCGGGGAACAGCTGCCATCGCCTTTTTTTTTCAACGTTCAGCTGCAACTTGCCAACATAAATTTTTGCAACAGTCAGCTATTTTTATAGCTGCATCCCTTAATTTTTTTAGTGGCTTTTCTAGACATAAGTCGTAGTTAGATCTCGCCTGCTTAGATATAAGAATAATTCCAATTTTTTCAGCTGCGCATTGTTTCATCGTAAAACTCTTTTGTTTCCACCTTCAGCTACTTTAGCTGCCATCCTAATTTTTTTCGTTCGGGGAACAGCTGCCATCGCCTTTTTTTTTTTTCAACGTTCAGTTGCAACTTGCCAACATAAATTTTTGCAACAATCAGCTATTTTTATAGCTGCATCCCTTAATTTTTTAGCTGCATCCCTTAATTTTTTTAGTGGCTTTTCTAGACATAAGTCGTAGTTAGATCTCGCCTGCTTAGATATAAGAATAATTCCAATTTTTTTTCAGCTGCGCATTGTTTCATCGTAAAACTCTTTTGATTCCACCTTCAGCTACTTTAGCTGCCTTCCTAATTTTTTTTCGTTCGGGGGCAGCTGCCATCGCCTTTTTTTTTTCAACGTCCAGCTGCAACTTGCCAACATAAATTTTTGCAACAGTCAGCTATTTTTATAGCTGCATCCCTTAATTTTTTAGTGGCTTTTCTAGACATAAGTCGTAGTTAGATCTCGCCTGCTTAGATATAAGAATAATTCCAATTTTTTTTCAGCTGCGCATTGTTTCATCGTAAAACTCTTTTGTTTCCACCTTCAGCTACTTTAGCTGCCATCCTAATTTTTTTCGTTCGGGGAACAGCTGCCATCGCCTTTTTTTTTTCAACGTTCAGCTGCAACTTGCCAACATAAATTTTTGCAACAGTCAGCTATTTTTATAGCTGCATCCCTTAATTTTTTTAGTGGCTTTTCTAGACATAAGTCGTAGTTAGATCTCGCCTGCTTAGATATAAGAATAATTCCAATTTTTTTTCAGCTGCGCATTGTTTCATCGTAAAACTCTTTTGTTTCCACCTTCAGCTACTTTAGCTGCCATCCTAATTTTTTTCGTTCGGGGAACAGCTGCCATCGCCTTTTTTTTTTCAACGTTCAGCTGCAACTTGCCAACATAAATTTTTGCAACAGTCAGCTATTTTTATAGCTGCATCCCTTAATTTTTTTAGTGGCTTTTCTAGACATAAGTCGTAGTTAGATCGCACCTGCTTAGATATAAGAATAATTCAAATTTTTCCACTCTTCTATCGCACGTGGATTTTGACTGACATTCGGTGGGCGAGCAATTCATGGATTACATCTTCTGTACTATCCGAGTAACCACAACAAACCACCGGCGTTTGCGGATGACTTAATTCTCTTAGTGGATGGGGATGCGGATATTTCATCCACGCTGGACGCCGACATTCGTAAGCGCCAGAGGGATGTTCATCAACGCAAATAAGTGTGTGTCAATCTCGGCATTCCGCGTCAGAGAAACGGCTGTCACCCGAACTCGCCCTATCTTCAACATCTCCGACCAAACTTATTCCCTCTGGATACCTCGTCCTTCAGTTTGGCAGCGGGGATATACAAACCAAACCTGTTCAGCTTAAAGACCTGTCTGGCCAACTTAGAGGGAGCGGCGTTAAAGCCCCACCACTAGTTCGGGCTCCTGAGCTCGTACTTCGTGCTCCAGGATGGTCTACGGCTTCCAGGGCCCGTAGATCACCGCAGTCGCCCTCCTGCATGGATGTGGTCATTCGCAGTACTACAAAAACGGTGCTCCACCTTTTTTTAAAACGCTAATGTCAGCGACGGAGGTCTGAGGGTACCGGAAATATACCGGTTGGTGCCCTGGATCCTTTCAAAAGCCTTGCCAATATGCGCCAACATGAAGACCCGCTTCGCTGTTCTGGAAGAATTTCCTTACTAAGATCGAACAACTAGTCAAGGGTCCGCCATACGCCTTCTGCGCCTCCCTACCATTCCGTAGGGTGAACGGATCCGCATATTGTAAGTGATGTTATTTTTGGTATTTTTCAACGAGAGGTCTAAAAAGTGAAGTTTGTTGTTCTTTTCTCTTTCTTTGGCGAATTTAAAATTTGTGGTGAAATGTGTGTAATTGTTCATATGCAAAAGATGTCGTCAACGGTTCTGTTCTAAGGTGTAATATGTTTGCCAGTTTTAATTTTTGTTTGTTAATAAGATACCTTTGACAAATTTCTAATAATGCCATCAGTAATTGTTTACTAGAAATTGCTATTAGAAAATTTCAACAACAAAAATTAAGCGTATCTAGTAATTGTCCGCACACAATTTACCTATGTTCTCGTCACAGATGATCATCAAATGCCTACTCTGTGGGCCCCTCATAAGTGAAAATTAAATTTAACCTTGTGTTTTGGATGGTTCTGTTAGTCCTTATAGTTGTGATAGTTATCTGTGATAAATTTGTTCTTACTTTTTTCTAGCATTGGCTCTGCATTTGGGTTTTGTTTAGTGGTTAAGCGGCTTTTGTATATAAATTTTGTACCGACGGTGACGTGGACCGATTGGTGTAATTGTTTGTTTAACCGTTCTAGGAAGGGAAACATGTTTCACAAAAATCCTTCTTAAAGTAACATTAACATATATTTCAAGGTAAAGAGTTATTAAGTAATATTTTTTGCATTTAATTCATAAAAGTAAATTTATCGAACAAATAATCTACAGATAATTTACATACAATGGGTTAGCATTGGTTATCACACTTACTTCTAGATCACACTGTTAATGTGTACAGGGTGTACATTGGTTAATAAATAAACTCTCGACTAAAATTAACCGTTACACTGATAATATCATTTTATGGAAAGCGTTCATAGAACTTACAATATCAATATATCATAGATATATGGGACCGAAATCACCGATTGTTCGAATTTCAAAAGACAGGGCCAAAGCGTTAAAATCTTTCGAGATTGACGCTAAATTTGACCCTTTCGTCCCTCGATAGTCTACTAGTCGGTAAATATTTAGAAAGGAAATTGAATTGATTCATAAATTCTTTTGTGGAAATTACCTTCCACAATATTCCTTAGGCGCACTTATTCTACGGGCCTAACTGGCCGTTTTAAAAATTAGAAGCGAATGTGGTAATACCCCACGTTGCTTTTTAAGCTACTTTTATCATTTTGATAACTTCAAAATGAATAACCATCACCTCCCCCTTTGTAACCCCCCAATTTTTTGTACATTTGTATTAGTAGCTAGTCTATTTTCTATATACCTATGTACAAATAAATATCTATAAATTATACGGATGGCAAAACTGGTAGACGAGCCTTTGAGACCGTTCCGTTTTTTTCATTATGCCTTTTTTATAATACTGCCTTATAGACCTACTGAGTTTGTCGTAATTCATCGCCGGCCGATTTTTTCGCTTCCCCCAAAGTCGTGCGACTTTCACAGAGTCCTCTATTTTGAATATTCCTTTGTTGCGATCTATCCACCGAATACACGAGCCATGTGTTTGGGGAGACGCCAGTAGTTCCTTGAGGAACTGCCACAAGTGGATGTGGGAGCTGCCGGTCCCTCGAGACGTTGTGGGCTTACTTGGTTCGACGTCTGTCGGCATTTCTTCTTCCTCATCTGAAACCGTTCGCAATTAGGTAATGGAAAAAGAAATATTAAGTATCGCGCGAGGTGAGTTATTTTATCGTTTGACTGGTTCTTAAGAACAACTTCACGTTCACATTGCACATAAACCTACTTTTGAAGGCCAGCAAGTTTATTACATTACATTTGCGTCTTTGTATTTAAATCGCTAGAGACAATAAAACAAGAACTGATTAGATTGGCTAAATTTGCATTGAGCGTGTAGGCGTTTCAGAAAGCTTGTTTTTGGGGTTGGGGCGCCATAAATTCTGAAATAGACTTTGGTGGTTGACATTCCTTTTATAAATGGTCATCTTTTTTGTCCCGTTTATCTTAATAAATGCGAAAAACGGTGTTAAGGAAAGGTTAAAGTTATACTGATTAATTCCTAAAACACTAATAAACACCGTGATCAATGGACAAACTTAAAATGTTAATGTATCCAATGTTTTGTTCTGGCTTACCGTCGGAGATTTCTCCGCTCGACGCGTTACTGGAGGCACTTTCCGGCATCCATTTTCCACCAAATTCTTCCTCGGAGAAGGCGGCTTTCCAAATTTCTAATTGCGCGTATAGTATGCTTCCACTCTGTAACAAATGAGCTTGCTTTGATTGAATGCGGACTACATGATCTACTTGGAATTGTCTCCTTTTTTCTAAGAAATTACTCGGTCTGCTGTCTAGTAACGGAATGGGACATTTTTCTAAATGCCACGAGTTGATGACTGGTTTTGTTTCCAAGTCGCACACTTGAAAAGGTCAATACTATGATTTTGGAATCGGTCGATCGACTCATTATTCAATTTATAATTGAACTAAACACGAGGATGGTCTCATTTACATAAGATTAAAATAATTAAGCCATTTCGGAATTGTTTAATAAATAACCTCGTTCACAGATTAAGAAACTACGCTAAGTAGGCTTATTTCCGATGCAAAATATTTAAACAGTAGCATTAATCGATCGAATTAAACGCGCGTTTAGCCTACTTCGTTTTTGCAAGGGGGCTAATTGAAATTCAGTCGTACAGGAAGGCGTTTTGGACTGGCCGTAGGCAATGTCGCGGAACGTCCTTTGCACAATCTTACGATTTCTTATTTCACAATGTGTTAAAATTGAATGGTTATTCATCCAACAACTGGAGAAAGTCTTTCTAGCTTGACCCACTTGCATGAAAAAACGAGAAGGAATGTGCGGTTTCGTTTTAGGTATACAAAAGCAGTTTTTCGCCAATTATTTCAAGACCTATTCTCTTTAATCGCCGCGCAGGAATTGTAATTATTGCCGGCGAGGTATGATTTGATTGACGAAGAGAAGAAAAAAATTCGGGTCATGATTTAAAGATTGGTAAGTGCAGCCGAGATCTGAGGTGAAGTTAACGGTTTTTAAACGTTGACGTTCCATGTGCTAAAGATTTACCGTAATCGTATGAGTAAACGACGATTTAATTGAATTTATTAGAAGTTAATGACAAGTGGAGAAAATGCGACCTTGTACAGTCTGAAAACGTTTTTAAGGTTGTTATTTGAAAAAAATATTACAAACTGGTTTTATAGATCTGCCATAAAAACGCATTAAAAAGTTGATTTCAGTATCAATTAAATCGCCGTTCGGGGCGCAGATAAGGCTTCCGGATTTGTAATTAACAAAAAAATTCCTTCAAAAGTACCTGGGGCGCTCTTCTGGTAAAGTCCTCCTCTGAGAGAGCGATTAAGTTGGGCCCCGACAGTTCCCATTGATTTGGTATAAGTGTTGGCAGGCCAAATTGGTTTGTTGTCCACTGTAACCAGGACAGCACATTGGCTGGGTTCCATTGTGATGGGTCTGAAACAAAACAAAAATCATAGCAAACGTCGAACAAAGCAAGGAAACCCTGAAAGGGTCGATTTCAACCCTAAAGCTTTAGAGTTATGATGAGAAATTTTATAATTTGAAATTGCAAGCCAAATTTCCTAGTTATAAAAAAGTTTCGCGTTAATATTTTGAGTTATGCAAATTTTGTAGTGGAAGTTTAAAAATTATTTTGAATAGAGGTCAAATATCCTAGTTGAACCTTATAACAAAGTTTTAGGTTTAAAATTAGGAGCTATAAATCCCCGCTTGGGAAAATATTTCGATTCCTCACGTCAGGATCAAAATTTTGAGTCGTAATTAAACTAAACTTTCCACTTAAAAGTCCAAATGCTAAAATGTTTAAATCAAGTTTGCGGTAACATTTAAAATTTTCGTCGTGACGTCGAGTAGGTTAGAATTCTAATTATTAGTCGGAGGTTTTAAAATGTCGAGTACTAAGCTAATGTTTGTGGTAAAATTTCGAGGCATGATTTTTTCATCAAGATTTTCATAAAATTATCAGTAACTTCGGCGAAAAATTTTACATTGTTAGGTTGCGGTAATACTTCGATTTATAAGTTGAAACTTTACATCTTGGAATTCTAAAATTTCTAGTAACTTTGGTTTAGATTAACCGATTTTCACATAATTGGTCTTATTGCCAAGAGCTTTCTTCAGATTCTACATGGAGTCTTTTTAGTAAATGTGATGAGTGGTATAGAGGGCGCGGTTTGACATTAACATAAACTTTTCAGTTTTTCTTGAAAATTTCAAATGGAACGGAATAATGATTATGATAATTATTGCTTTTTATATTATTTATATTTCTCTGATTTAAAGTTAGAGTAATTTATTTGTTGCTCATAATTTAAAAACTTATATTGAGTGTTAATTTTAATTATTATTTGAATGATTGCTTGTTATGTTGTTCGTTTGTTTCAAAGCCAACTTGGATGAATACGCCAATTTAAATTTGTGAATGGAAACAGATATCAAAATGCGGTTTTCGATGATATTTCCACTTTTGTTATCTGTGCAATTAAAGTAATTTTTGGACAACATTTTTAAGTTATATGAAATGTAAAAATGTTGAGATTTAATCAACGTTTTGCGGGTTGGCTGCCAGATTAAAATTTTGAGTTCGACATTTTCTGACTGTGACTTAAATTGTTTGAGTTGACATTTTAAAAATTTAAATTATTTTGCAGCAAAATTTGCGTCCAGATATCAGATATGTCTACATTGTTCTGTAATATTTATGTAAAAATTTTTGAGTTACACTTTTGGCTTTAGTGCTAAAACTTCAATTGAATAATAATCAAAGTGTTTGGGTCTAAACCTTCAAATTGTAGGAATTTTAAGTTTTAATTGATGTTTTGCGCGATGATAATTTTGAGTTATAACTTGTTTGTTGGTTTAATTTTTGAGTTATAAATGGAAAGTTTAAAATTTTCATTTTTAATCGTTTTTAATTTAGTTTAAGTTTTTCCGTCAAACTTTTGTTTTGTCAAAATGTTCAAAGGTTTAGGAGTAAAAAGTTAAAAAATGATCCATGTAGCAATTAGGATTCGCTGTGCTTAATTTATTGTATCGTGAAATGCAATTTTCCAATTTTGTAACCTACGCGCACTAAACAATCGTGATTTTTAGAGTAGATCATCGATTATTATTTGCACCTCAACATGCGAGGCGCATCAAAACTAATTAAGTAATTAATTAGAAGGTAGAGAGCTAGTAAATGATTCGCCTTATACACAATTTGTCTTGCAATTAAACAGTGAACTAGAAATTTCTACTTGACCTGGATATTTATTTAACACTGTTTCACTTGCATTAATTAAACTTCGTTTGCGATTGATGGATAAGGCGACAAGTAATTTCACTTCCAAATCTACTGGAAGGAGGTTTGTTGACAGTGTCGGTTTTTCTGGGAAAAGCTAATAAACTGAAAACTCCTTTATAGGGAATATTAATTGGCATGCGTCTGCAATTAGCGACACGTGGCCGGTTGTCCTTGTCTATTTATATTAACCACACCCAACTTTACAATGGCAAAAAAAAACCGAAATAGCCCTAGTAGAAATCGTAATATATGACGTATGGTATTTGAGTGGGTGAGCGGAATAAATATTTTTCAATTATGAATTCCGCCTTTGTAGGTTGTCATGAAATACATTCAGCGTATGTTCGCGAAGGTTACTTTGTACCCATGGCATGGGTGTGGTGGAGTTGTGTCGCAATGATAATTTTGTATTGTTCCATTGTGTTCAATCGAACCCCGTGGGAATTGCTTTTCGGCCTGGTAGCTGAATGAATCACTTCCTAAGTATAGAATTGGAATCACAAACCATGTTTTGTATAACGAGATGACGTATGGCAAGATGATTTTATTACATCATCAGCCAGCACTTGCGTTAAGTGGCATCATAATATGCATAAGGAGACGTCATTGGTTTTTACCCGGAAAATTTCAGAAATCACATACCTGGAGATATAGCCAAAGCGGCGCATGTGTTGCTGACATCCTTCCGCATCTGCTCGATCGCCAAATTTAGAACTGGATCGATTGTTTCCCTCGACAGCTCCGGATCGATAATGTCATCAGGCTCTTCCATCTTGATGGGATTGTCCATCAAGTTAAAGTCGAAAGTTTTAATGTTGTACTTCTTCTGGAAACTGGTATCCCTCAGTACTTCCCTTAGCAATTTGTGGTCCTCGCCCTTCGACTTTTCGGGAACGATCTGAGTTTCGGCACTCTTATCACCATTCAATCTAAAGCTTTGCAGTATGCTGTCGAAATCGATGGTACTCTCCTGTTTGATTATGGCCGTCCCCAGTAAATCCACCACGTCTCGATTACTCGTGTAGTTCGAACATGGCGACAGGAAATTTTCTTCTTTGACGTACGGAGGGAAGAATTCCTTTTTTACGTACTGTTGTTGGTAATTGTCGGGTGCGTAGAACGAGCTGGGGGAGTGCGGGTAGCTCGACGTGTCCGATGGCGAGTTTGGGTACAGGCTATGGTAGTCGGACGTTGGGGATGGAAATGTGGAGTACTGCTCGTTTGGCGACAGCAGGCTGTGGGACGAATAGGGCGATAACGAATCTGTGCTTTTAATCGACGGTACTTCGAGATAAATTCCACTTATTGGCGATGTCGGGTAGTTCGTCTTTGTAGGTTCTGAACCTAGAAGCTCTTGGAAGTCGGGCCCGAGATCGATGTCGTTAGCTTTTAACGTTGGGGGAGAGTTTGGGTAGAACGTTGTCGATATTTTTGGCTTTACCCCGCATGGCATGGGCGGTGAGGGAGTCGAATAGAAGGTGGTCGGTGGCGGAAGGTCTTCTTCTGGCAGTAACGATAGGTCGAAGCTGTCGGCGAAATTGCTATAATCGCAGGGGGGTGTGAAGCCTGCCGATGGAACTATTTGAGGCATCTGAAATATATCGTGTATTTATTAGTACTTTTGGTCGAAATGGGAGCCCTCGTGACTCACCCCACATCTCTATCAGACTAACAAAATTGACTGATTAGTACCTACTCATTTGGGGGCAAAACGAAATCCCAAATACGTCACTTGCGAATGTAAATACAGATGGCATGCTAAAAATACAAGCACGCTCATCATGTGGCAAAAATTATGAAGCGGGAAGAGATCCACGCTTACCAAAATCGCGCTAATGACTAATCCGTCCATCTCTTTTCATTACGCAAATTTTAACAATTACTTCCCTCTCTTTCTGTTTTAGTTCACCTTGATTGCCAAATTATATTTTGCACTGTCAAGGTACGCAACTACGTCAGTTTTGTCCCCGTATTCAAATTCTGCCGCATTCTTTTTCGATTCGTCCGCGTACTCGTGCGCATCCCTTAAACATGGGAGTTATCAATTTAAGAGCGCCACTTGACTTAAATATATGTTAAGCACGCATAATTGGGAAACGATGTCGTAATAAATAACAAAGAGAGTGAGAGGTAAGTTGGTTATAAACGGGAAAACCGAGTTACCTTGAGCGGTGACGTGGCTTAAAACAATCTGATCGGTAGTGATTGTTTAATATCAAGGAAGATCTTTAAATCCATTTCAAAAGCCATCAGCTGAAAGTGGGTCAAAACGTAAAAGAATCCTTGGGGTTGATATCCTGATGAAATCAAAGTTTTGAATTAATTTTAAAAAATTTCACCTGCATCAAGTTGCATAATTTCGGAAATTAGAGTTACACAATGAATGCTTTTATCGGGAGTCCGATGGAAATTCCAACATCTTACATTCCGGGTGAAACGAGAAAATGAAAGTTCATTTTTTGACATAGCTAATTTAAATCTCGGCTCGTTGAAGCGTGGGCGATTTCCGGAATTTTACGAAAGACAAGCCAATTTGCGCGCTGTAAATTGAGACGGTAAGAGTGGTCACCAAGTCATTACACTCAACTTTCTCTTCTTATTCTAAGAAATGCGTTTACGAATTCCACGCCTTAATAACAGGTAGAGATATAACGTTGCGAACGTCACGTCATCCTCTTTTAGTGCCTGGTACCGGCCGAAACAACGTTTTAAAAAAAAGAACAAACATTTTAGGCATAAGTTTGGAAAACTTATAAGTTATTGTTAATTTATGAGGTTTTGGATTTAACGTCCTTGCTGCCATTAATTTCGGATTAATCATACCCAAAGAATGGAAATACGTTTCACAAGGATATTTTTAAACAAAAATGTGGGTGGTGCGCCTCTGCAATTCACCACTTTAGTATTGAGAATTTCTCACCGATTTTGTCTATGTAAACAATGCTGAAGTAGACCACTTTTAAGTTATTCACTACAGCTGTCCACCTTTGCATTTACCTCTAAAAATAATAGGCTCCCTAAAATTAATGCTTTACTCAACGCTTTTAGTGCATTAATAAAATTCGCCGGTGACGACAGTTTTGTTGTCGAAACGTATTCGATTTGTTAAAATTTTAAAAAGATGGGATGATTTTTAATGATGAATGTTGATAGCAAACTTTTAATCCACCCTTCCACGTAAATAAAATGATTTCTCGTTGAGCTGGACTGTGATGTGGTATATGGTGGTTTTTGCAAATAGCTAATCCAAAATAAGTTTTTGAAAATTGGGAAAATAAAAATAAATGAGTGATTTCAAACAGATTGCTTTAGCTTAATGACAGGTAATAATAATTCATTTGTTTTATTACACAGAATATTTGTTTCTGTGGGTGCTATGCAAGATTTATCAAATTGATACCGTACATATATGTGAAATTTTGCATGTGGACATAATTTCATATTCTAAACAACTTTTCTTGATAACAGTATACCTTATTATTGGCCAAAATGGCACTTTACCTCAACATAAAATTATTTTTCTTATTTGTCACGGCCATCTTGCATTGTAAAAAGTAAAAATATGCTTAAAATTCTTTTCAGACCAAGCAGGCCGTGATCCCAAAACATCAAAACGAGATTCAAAATTTTCTGATCAATACATGTATCGTGAAGTAAAGCCGACCTGCGTAGCTCAGATGAGTGCGTTAGTAGCTCTAACTTTGGCTGCAAGGGTCCTGGGTTAAGTGGTAAGATTAGCTAACACTCCGCCCACTATAAAATAAAAAAATCCGGGGGAACACACGGTAAAGCGTCCGATATAAGAACAAACAAAATTCAAGTCAGATCATTTTTTTCATGTTAAAAAACAAGTTCCAGATACTAAACTGCGTGAAGATTGGATTTTTTGCACCTTTGTTTGGGGAATGGATATCTTGGGGTAAGACAATTGTTCAAAAAACCAGGACAAAGCCGTTACTTGCATGAAGAAGCAACAAAAATACGAAAAAAAGATCGTGTTGTTCTTATCTAGCTTATTTTTCCAGGTTTTTTTTTAAAATACGATTTTTGGCTCATTTAAAACAAAACTAAAATGTTCTATGACTTGTGCGTCAGCTCGTCTGTTGTTCCGTCCGCCTTTGTGTGGCATGAGATCAGTTACTGAATATGCGTCGAAAGCTCAATACTTAAATGTATAATCAAGCTACTTCTACATGATGTCCAAATTTGAGCAAATTTTTTATTTATTCGCCAATCAAGTCGGGAAAATTGATTTGATGCACAAATACAAAATTTAGTATTTCGCTTCACTTCTGGTTAAGTTGTTAGACCAAAATCTTTATTTATCAGCAATTCCTTTGGGAAATGGAATGGAAAACCTAATTTTGGTGCTTGCACAATTGAGAAACAAATAGCGACTAAGTTAATACAATGGACCAACAGGTAGAAAAATGAAGACTTTTAATAATGTTCGAAAAATATTTCAGGAATTTTACGCTAAAATGGTACAGCGGTCCTAAAATGTTGACATTTCAACAAAAATTGCCTTCAGAGGTACAAATTTTGGAGTGATTTTTGCAAAAATGCGAAAGTTACAACCATTTTTACATTTGCTTCTGTCGCAATTGACTATTAAATAAGTTTAACGGTAAAATGAAAAACTGGTCCTAAATAAACGTTTTTAACATACTTTAACTTTGCGAATGCAAGTACGTTCGTAGGCGATTTTGCACGTCAAAATTTTGGAACGTCAAAATCGGAATTTAGCTACAGTGTGGATCAGACGGATGCAAAAATAAGAACGCTAAAAAGCAGAGGGAATATTTCGGAAAGTGAAGATTTCTTGAATGTTTACATTTTGGCGATGGTGCAAAATTTGATCCTTTTTTAGCTTCAAAGTTTCAAAAATGTTATAATTTTGCAAAAATGATTATAGGAATTTTTATAAAAATGTCCAACGTTTTTAGATTTTTTTAGAAATTTTATTTAAAAAAAAATTCAAAAACATGATTTACATGACCCTAACCTGTTTATGATTACTTTTGAAATGTTCAATAAACAAGACTAGCTATGAACATATGATTGTCAATTTAAAAAAAAATGTTTTCAAACTATTTCAAAAATAAAAATCGTATGAGTATGATACAATTTCTCTGGTGGTCAAACGAATTTTAATATTTGTTTAAATAAAAAGAAATGAAAATATACTTCCACGTGTCACGTTCTCCGATTATTTTTGACAAATTTATTTAAACGGTAAATTGGTTAAATGTAATTTCAAGAGATTTCATTAGATACAATATTGATTCGTTTTAAATGTGGTGTGATTGCAAAAAAGGTTATGCCTATGCAATGTAGGGATTAAAAATGTTTTTTTAGTTAGTCATCATTTGCATATTTGAAAAAAGGTCCTTGCAAACTGTGCTACTTACATACCGCAAACCTCCTTGCAATATTCTTCTAAATGGCAAGTCAAATCACAAAAATCAATAAAAAATGTTTCATTTGAAATTAGAAGGTTGGTGTCGACTTTTTTTATGCAACATTTGAAATCGATAATCTAAATGGTTGCTCAGACATGGTTAACCGATGATCTTGTGAAACACCCTGTATATTCCACAAGGAATATTTTGAAAACCTCGGTTTTTGCCTTGCAAAATCTTCCAATGTTTAAAAAGGTGGTTAGCCAAATCATGAAACACGTTCTGAGGGAAAGTATCCAGTTTATAATTCTACGCAAAAAAAAGCTGCCTGTTCAACGGACTTATCCTGTGAATAAAATTTGTAGGAAACAAGTCGCATTAAAGTCGTATTACTTCTATTAAGCAGCTACTAATTTATGCTTGATTTTCGTTTACACACCCTAAAGGCTTGCCGCGCATTTTTAGTTACACCTTTGGCACGTATGACGAATACGTTTGATTTTTAACATCTAAAAAACTCTTCACAGACAAGCAAACGTATTTAGTATCGTTTTTTCTCAAGATTCATTCAATTAAAACGGGTGTACTTTTAATTTTACTCGCAATTTACAAACAAAGGATTCTGGTTTTTACAACTTCCGCGTCAGCATAAAAAAAACGTATTTACAAGATTTAAAAACACCTTCATTAATTATTAGTTAATTTTGCGGTTTGAGTACGTCAATTACGCAGAAGAACCAAAAAAATGCCGTTAAAATACCCCCTGTGACATTTGACATCGTTTTTGGACCTTGGTACTACAGTACTTTTTGTTTACTTCACCAGAAATCGCGACAGTACCATAAAAAAATTAAAATCTCACCGAGTCTTCAGCGGTGGTACTCCTTGAAACCATTGTGGCGAACTTACAAAAACTCCGTCGCGAAACACACAAGAAAGGCACTACTTTCAGTAAAATTCGTGTATCATTTGTAATCCGTTTGGTTAGTTACTTATAAAAATTTGGGAGGCGGCGTACCGCGCTCTTCGACTGCCTTCAACTTAATGTTAATACAATTCCTCTTTGTAAGTCACGGCCTACTTTGTTACTACAGCTCACTGGCAAGCAAGAGGCAAGAACAAAGTGAAAGATTATCGTGCACCTCTTAGTAGACGAATTATACCTATCGGATTTCAAAATTTTCTTTTTTCTTTCTCGTGATTTTTCGTAAATTTTTCAGCGCGAGTCCGATGCCCTTCCACGATTATAAAATATTTTTTAGTTATTATCGGCGCTCTTAGATAGGCGATTGTTTTTCTCACAAAGGTCACAGATTAACTTTGAAGGTCTTCTTATGCAATTTACTGCAATGTAAAAGTATGAATTAAAGCCCATGTTGCCTTGTAGCGCCTCGGCTTCTTTTGCTAAAATCGCATGCGTTGACACTTCCCGAATGTAAAACAATAATTTTTTAGTTGTTTGACATCGCGGTGAAGCAATCCGAGTAGTAACATTACTTTAATATTGATAAGAAAAAAAACCGTTAAAATTAGTATTTATAGATTCATTATGGTATCTTTTGATTGTACAAATTCTAATAATGCAAATTCAAAATTGCACCCTACAATTTTGACGTTACTTTGAACAGTAAAATTTTTTTAAGAAAACGCTAAAAACAATTTTCTTATAAAACACAATTACGCATAAAACTGTGAAATTTGTTTGTTTATTTATTGTTACGTGCCCTCAGGCACATATTTTCTAATTATTTTCATATTTTCTCTTAATAATTTTCAGTGCTGGATGAGTTGGTCGTTTGTCCACGATTTTTATTTCCTAACCCCGTGGATGTCCCTCCAAAATTGATCGAAGTGTTTGTTTTCCTAAAATTTCTCAATTGTTTTCTTATTTTTTGGTTTAGTAATTGGTTTTTCTGTAATGACCAGGCTACAGTGAATTTTTGTTCTAAAAGTTGCGGAAAGTCTTTTCTTTCGTTTTGAATATTTTCGTATTTGTAAACAATCTCACCCTGATGTTTCCCTTTTCCCAATTTTGTAGGGATAGCTATTAAAAAGGCCTTGATTTGTCATAATTTGAATTCTTCTATTTGGTAGGCAGAATTTCCATTTTAATTTTTCCTTTTGTCAGGTACGTAATCAAAAGTTTCTATTCCAAATGTTGATTTCTTACGTAACGTAACGTAACCTAAAAAATGAACGGTAAAGAAAACCAAAGCAAACATATTTTCAAAATAAAACATGAGTTTTCACATCAGGGGAAATTAAAGGTCTTACGTACGTTTTTGTTTGGATATACATACACTGTTTGATTGTGTATCCAATTTTCTTTCTTTCTCAAGATTATATCTTGACCATAAGAGTTTAATAAACCTTCGTTGTGAGGTGAAAATTCTTTCCCTGCTATTGATTATAATTGAAAGGATCACTAGAAAACCTCCTTTATTCCTATGTAAGTGTATCCCCTCTCATCAACAATTACCACAATTAACTGGTGTCAGGGCTTTTAAACGATTTCGAAAAGGGCGAATCAGCGATGGCTCTATTCTTGGATTTGAGTAAGACTTTGATTTGAGGTTTGATTGTGTGCCACATAAACTTCTACTTCTTGTGAAACTGCACTACTATCAGTTCGACACTAAAATAATCAAGCTAGTAGGCTCGTTCTTAAAAAATCGTAAGCAGAAGGTCATTGTGAACGGTAAACTGTCTCAACCCGTGTAAATAGATATGAGAGTGTCACAGTGCTCCATATTAGGCCCTGTTCCTTTTATTATTTTTGTAAACAATATAATCACATGTTGCCCACGAACAAAAAAGACAATCTACGCTGATGACACAAACTTTTACTTATCGCAGATACTATTAACACGCTTATGG